ACACTCCTGCTCAATTTGGTGTCCTCTACAAACACACTGAGGGTACCTTGGTCCCCTCATCGAGATCATTGATAAAAATGTGAAACAAAACTGGCCCCAAAACCGAGCTCTGGGGACACTAATTGTGACCAACCACTGACTGGAGTTAGCTGGTCCTGGGCCCTGGCCAGTGTTCCCTGTTGCTATGGTAACAGGAACTGGGGACCGGGCACAGGCTGGAGTGGCCCTGGTCTGTGGAGTGAGGGGTATGTGGGGTGTCTGTGGAAGGTGTTTGTATTGGGGTACATGGGTGTGGGTGTCTGCTAGTGCGGGGAGGCTGTTTTGGGTGTTTGAGTCTCACGGGAGACCTTCTGGCTCTCCACAGCTCCCTGACAGGAGGCTGGAGCCAGGGGGGGGTCGGGCTCTTCTCCCAAGGAACAAGGGACAGGACAAGAGGAAGCAGCCTCAAGTTGCCTCAGGGGAGGCTGAGGTTGGCCCTGAGGAACAATTTCTTGCCCTGGAGGGTTGTCCAGGGCTGTGCCAGGCTGCCCAGGGCAGTGGTGGAGTCCCCATCCCTGGAGGGGTTTCCAAGCTGTGGAGATGTGGTGCTGAGGGACATGGGTCAGTGGGGACCTGGCAGCGCTGGGGGATGGTTGGATTTGATCTTTTCCAACCTAAGTGATTCTATGACTCTAGTGTGGGGAGCTGGGTGTGAGGATGTTCCTGTGGGAGTATGTGGTTATGGGAGCCCACCAGGCTGGGAATTGTTTGTGGTGGTGCCCCTGGGGCTGTGGGGGTGTTTGTGTGGGGTGTGGATGTGTGTCAGTGTTTTGGGGTGCTGGAGTGTTTAGGAGATGTGGGGAGGAGCCTGTTTGTGTTGGGTGTGTGCAGGGTGTGCATGTGTGAGCGGGGTGCATGTTCATGGGTGCTTTTGGGGTGGCTGTGTCAGCATGGAGGCTGCTGGGGGTGGTGGTGTGGGGGTGTGTTTAGGGGTCCATGTCTGTAGGGGGTGTGTTAGGTTTCAGAGTGTGTCGCAGGCGTGTGCTCTGGCCGGTGTCCTGGTGCACCCTGTGCCACTGCCATCTTGGTGGCATCACCCATATCGTGCTGAGCATCGCTGCGAGGTGCTGAAACCTTCCCCAGATGCCTCCACCGGGCACACACGCCTTAGTCCAGCTGTGCCGTGGGATGTCAGAGCATGTCCAAGTGTGCAGACACCATCAGATGGCACTAGGAGACCATCTCCTGCTCTAAGGCACAGGATGAGAGCGATGCAGCACCTTGGAAGCTCATTTCTGAGGTCTAGGGAGCAGTGAACATGTGGTTCTTTTCTCACAAAAAGTGACAAGGGAAAGGAGATGGCGGAAGGAGGAGTGAGGGGTATGGTAGACATCAAGTTGTCACTTAATTCATGCCTACGCTTGGGAAGACCCTTTTAAAGCAACTGAACATTAGAGCTGGTGACAATTTTAACCCATTTTCATCTTTATTGCCTTCCCCAGGAGCACTGAAGGTTGAGATGGCTACAACAGGACTGTATAAAATGGGTGGTGAAAGCAAGTATGCAGCCAATGGCTTCCCTGCCAGGAGTGCTTGGCACGCAAGTGGAGAAGGTGACAGTTCTTTGAGTGCTGCTGGTGAAGTCTCCCTGCTGAATAAGGTCGTGTCCATAGGGGCAGGTCCACCATCCACCCTGGTGCTGGGCCAGATCAAGGGTACCTTCAGCTGCAGTTGCCTGTCTCGACATCGCAGCTGATAACACAGCTAAGAGTTGGTAGCAGAACTTCAAACAGTGCCCAGGAAGTCTTGCAATAATTTAAAACTTCATCAAAATGAAGAGGGCAGGATGTTGAGGGCACATAAATGAGGGGTCCAGGAGCCATCTCCACATGCCATCAGGAGGGAAGCTTCAGGCAGGCATGTGGGTAGCATAGTGTGGTTCTCCAGCAGCTCTCCAGAGCCAGAACATCTCCTTTTTTTCTCTGGGCTTTGAGACTCACATCTCTGAAATGCTTTAAAATGGCAGAAATGTCTTCTAGGATTTGAGAAATGGTGGAGGGGTCTCCTAGGCTGGTCAGGGGTCTAGAGCGTGGGAACTTCTAGGCTGAGGGTGCTGGGCTTGGTTTTTATCTGGCCAAGAGGAGTCCAAGGGGAGATTGTGGCTTACAGCTACCTGAAGGAATCACTAGGATAAAGCCACGACTGACAGATCCAGAGTTGCTGATGGTCCTGCTTTGGGTGGGAGGGTGGATTGGAGATCTCCAGAAGGCTCCTCCAGCCCATATTTCTTTGTCTGCAATCTATGAGCACCTATAAAGTAGCATCTCCCTCCTCTTTCATGGCTCTGCATGTAGCTTTGATGTTCCTATCTTAACTTCATGGTCACTGAAGACTTTATACTCCAGTGTTTTGCCATCTAGAAGATTTTTAAATGGTGGGTTTCACTGTTGGGCTGAAACACCAGGCAGACTGCAGCTACTTTGAGAAGAGGACATTTAGAAGGTCACATGGTCATCTTACCCTCTCATCTGCCTTGGTCCATCATTGTGCAGGGTCTGGGCCCTGGGTGCTGGCACGCAGAGCTACCCCAAGGTCTTGGGTTGAGAAGGGGACCCCCTGGAAGACACCACAGCAGAGGAGGAAGCCTCCAGAGTCTGCTACCATGGAAGAAAGTAACCAAGACAATGTCCTAGATGAGCAATTTCTGGTGAGTGCAGATTTCCTCTGTTATTGCCCAGACTTTCTGGTACTGCTTTGTGGAGCTGGAGGTTGGACTCCATAGCTGCCTCTCCTTCCCACCTCCCTGCCACCTTCTCCTCACTTCGCATGATCCAAGGCACCCACCCCGTGCCCCCCTAACCCGGGGGCAGCTGAGGGTTCCTTCGGGGGCTCTGGTCCCGGGGCGCGACCTTCAGGATTGCTATAGGATTAACCCTTTGTGTTTCTTTGGTTTTTGCAGATGAAACAGCACCGTTTGAAGAACCCCTCTGACCTGTGCTCTGTGAACATAAGCAGCCAATATCTGGTCTCCGTGAGTACCAGGGACTCAAGAAGCATTTGGGAACTGCTTTAGCAGCTGAAAAATTTACCATATTAGCACACAAGTGTCAAGAGATTAGAGAAAACACACGTTAAATGGGGGTTGGACTAGATGACTTTTAAAAGTCCCTTCCAACCTAAACCTGAAAATCCTATGATTCCTAAATGCAGGAAGGTGAGCCAGACAGATGTGAAAAGGTTTGGAGGAGTGGGTGCATGATGAAGAGTGTGGCCAGCAGGTCAAGGGAGATTCTACCTGCCCCTCTACTCTGCCCCAGTGAGGTCACCCCAGGAGTCCTGGGTCCAGTTCTGGGCTCCCCAGTTCCAGAGAGACCAGGAGCTACTGGAGAGAGTCCAGTGGAGGCTGCGAAGCTGCTGAGGGGCCTGGAGCATCTCTGTGCCAGGACAGGCTGAGAGCCCTGGGGCTGCTGAGCTGGAGAAGAGAAGCCTCAGAGGGGATCTGATCGGTGCTCAGCAGGAGCTAAAGGGCCCCCAGGGGACAAGAGGCTGGGGCCAGACGCCTGGGGCCAGACTCTGGTCAGTGGTGCCCAGCGACTGGACAAGGGGCAACGGGCACCAACTGGCACCCAGGAGGTTCCACCTGAGCAGGAGGAGAAACTTCTTTGGTGTGAGGGTGGCCGAGCCTGGAGCAGGCTGCCCAGAGAGGCTGTGGAGTCTCCTGCTCTGGAGAGATTCCAAACCCACCTGGATGTGACCCTGGGCACCCTGCTGTGGGTGACCTGCTGGAGCAGGGGGGTTGGAGGAGATGATCTCCAGAGGTCCCTTCCAACCCCATTATGCTGGGATTCTGGGATTTATCCTACAGACTTTTGGTTCATGCCTTCATAACCAAATCAACTTGGTCTTTATTGGTTTTAGCCCCTTCCCCACTTACATCCCCTCACAAAATACTAGGTTTTGAGTTTAGGGATTGTCTCAACTATGGTAGGAGTTCAGCTTCAGCTTGAGAAGTGATGTTTAATTGGGTTAATGTCTAAGCTGCTATGCAAAGAGAAAATGAGCTGAAGTGTTGGTAGGTTTTTAGTGTCTTTTCAGGGTTGTCTCTTGGTGCTGTGATGGTCTGATATGCTTATTTGTAGTGTGGATACATTTCTGGGTCACGTGTAGGTATGAATCATGGAGTCATAGAATTGTTTTGGCTGGAAGAGACCTTTAAGATCATCAAGTCCAACTCTTCCCCCAGCACTGCCAGGTCCCCACTGACCCATGTCCCTCAGCACCACATCTCCACAGCTTGGAAGCCCCTCCAGGGATGGGGACTCCACCACTGCCCTGGGCAGCCTGGCACAGCCCTGGACAACCCTCAAGTGGAACAAATTGTTCCTCAGGGCCAACCTCGACCTCTCCTAGGGCAAATTGAGCCTGTTTCCTCTTGTTCTATGAGACATCCGAGGAGCCCTGTGAGACACCCAGGGGAGCAAGGTCAGCAGTGAGGACACAGAGGGACTTTGCTTTGGTGTTCAACTAGTCTAGGTCTTCTGGATGTTGGTCAGTGAGGCAGCTTGTGCATTAAACTCATACTCTGAGGGGTGTTCTCCATAGAAAATCAAATGAAGACTTAATTATGGGAAATGCTGTGATTTGGGCATTCTGAGAAAAAGAGAGATCCAGTTGTTTCAGATCAGTTTAGTGCTGGAGTGGAATGATTTATTTTTATTATTTATTTTTCAGGCTAAAGAAGATGATTTTGAGAAATTTTATTGCGTTGCTTTTATAAATGCTGCTGAGAACCTGCTGAGGCTAGGTGAGGGATTGCCCTGCCAAAAAAAGAGTTTTCAACCTGGTTTCAACCAGGTTTTCAACCTGGGGAAGCTCACGCTTGTGTGAGCAAAGGTTTAGAGCTTTGGAAAGAGGTTTAAGATACACCTAGTGGAATTCCCTGTGCTAATTCCCTTTATTGTAAGGACAATTGTGTGTCACTGTGGTATCCTGCTCATTGTTAGAAAACAAAGCTCTTTACAAAGAAAATCCCTGTTTAATTTCTAGAAGCGTAGGATAAAGGAAACAACTCATCCCCAAGGCTCAGAAGGTTCATGGTAGAGCTGGGAGGTGGATCCAAATCCAGTGTCGTGGGCTCAGTTCGTTTGAAGAAGGGAAAAAAAAGCAAATCTATTTATACCCAGTAAAACAGACACTAAAATTGCCATCAGTGGCTTCAAGCAATAATCCACTTTGGGGTGGGAGCAAAGGCATGAAGAGAAACCAGATGTGTAAGAGCAGGCTGGTGGAGCAGTGTGTCTTGTACCACCTGAGCTGGTGTTTGCTCTCAAACATGCCTCCACGTGATACCTGAGCTCTCGTTCTTGCTGGTTTGGGCCCATTCCAGAGCTGGGTCCAGCGTGGTTGGGTTTGTTGTTGCTGTTCCTGACCCGCTGGGGCGTTTTCTTTGCCACCCTTGCAGAGCCCTTCCGGAAGTTTCCAGGACTGCGGACATTGGAACTTTCCTTGAATAGACTGAGAGACCTGAAAATCACTGCTGGAGACTTCCTGCATTTGGAGGCAAGATAAAGGGCCTCTGCGATATCACTCATCACTCATCTCCTCCCAAAACAGCACGTTGAAGCCTACATGTAGCATTGACCTTTGTCCCTGCAGCGTGAGTTCTCCAAAGCACCTTCCTTGTAACTCCAGGAGGTCCGCTGTGTTCCTCAAGGACCTTCACATCTTGCTTCCTCCCAGAGCAATCCCTCACAGATCCGCATCGCTCAGCCCCTTTGCCACAGGATTCCTGTTTTCCCTGGTGCTGGGCCACCCCCTTTGCTGTAGGAATCTCTCCCTGCAGCACGTTGGTCACTTGTGGCATCTGTCGCCTCCCTGATGCTGTGTGGTCCACTATCTCCATCCTCCTCCATACTATGTCTTCTACCTCTCTGCATCCTGTCCTCCTCCTCTCCAGATAGGTGTCTGCAGTCTCCCCAACTTAAGGGCTGCTTTTTTTACACAGCTAAGGGGTCAGTTTGGGTTTTTTCTTTAAAAAAGAGACAAAATGGCTCCTAAGAACAAACAGCTGTGCTCCAGTTGTCCTCTCCCTCCAGCCTGGAATGGGTCTCTTGCTGTGGAGAGCTCAGGCTCTGGCTCAGCTGTACTTGCTCTGTTTGGGAGGTGCCCTTGCCTGGATTTCTCTCGTTTCTGATTGCTGCTGGATATGAAGTTTTGCTTTAAAAGGTTTCTTTCTTCTTGTCTTATTCAAAGAGTTGTTGGTGGCTTGGTTGTCGGCTCTGTGTGCTCAGATCCTGTCCTCCCTCCTGCATGCAGGCTTTGGGAGGTCCCCAAATCCTTGAAATGTAGAAGAGCTTCTCCCATGTTTCTCTTACCACTGTTGGTAACCCACTCAAGGGTTTGACTCAGTCAGTGGACACATGCTCAGATGATGGGGAACCAAATTTTCAAGGCTCACAAGGCCAAGACTGATCCTGTCCATCCCTGTGTGAGCAGCCCTGTCACTGGCAGCAGCTACAAAAAGTGGGGAAGGGACCTACCTAAACTCCCCTTCCTGCCATGCCTCTGTGGATCTCAGCTTCATTCACGACCAGTGTCCACGACCTCGTTTGCTGACAGCCTGGAGAAATCAGCCCAGGGAAGGCTTATTGGAAATTCCTATTAAATTGATTTGCAAAGTGCTTTGAGCTCCTCCTGGGAAAATGTAGCCTACTGTAATGCCCCAGCAGAACTACTCCTGCTGCTGTATCCCAGAAGCCCTTCTCCTTACTACCAGCAGAGTCTTCTCCTTGGCTTTCTCCTGGCTGTTGTCCCGTGAGTCACATGTGAAGTCACTGTGTCCCGTGAGTGAAGTCCCTGGAAGTCAGAGACACTCCCAGCATCACCCGAGGGCGGGTGGTAGCATGACTGAATGTCTCCTGTAAATATTTAGCATCCACGTGGAGAAAGCCAACAGAGATTGTTCTTTGCTCCAGGGGATTGTTTCTTCTGTTTCCCTCAGGATCTGGACCTCTCCTACAACAACTTATCCCCCCAGGACGTTTGGACGCTGGGAGATTTGTCCAAGCTCAAAGTCCTTCGGTTGACGGCCAACGGGCTCCGGTCTCTGCCCCTGGAGCTGGCGGGCTCCTGGGAGTAAGTGGATGGGGGACTGGCCAGGAGGTGCTGGTGGGGCGCGGGGTGGTGGGGCGGTGGGGCTGGCAAGGCGGCGGTGAGCGGCCAGGGTGGACAGCCTGGGGTTTATCAGCGGGCCCTGCAGCTCTTCCCTTGCACGCTGGAAGATCAAATAACCCAATGTCCAGTGCTGGGTAGCAGGGAAGTGTCACCCCAGCTCAGCTCCGGGTCACCCACCACAGCTGCTGCCAGCAGGTGCTGGAGAGGAACCTCTGGAACCTCAGCAGTCCTGTCAGGTGGCCCAGCCCTGTGAGTAGTATGATATTTATTCGTTTTTCACTAGACCCTTCACGTGTGGCTTAGCCACAGTCTCCATGCCAAGGTGTCCACTTGTTGGAGAGAAGATGCTGAGCTAGATGGTTGTTTGGGCCGATCCAATTTAGCTGTTTTGAGGTGGGATATCAATTTTCTATTAAAAACAGCCCAAATCCAGTCTCCTGGTGGATACATCTCCTGTGGTGACATCAAAGGATGTGAGTTTGACCTGTCTTTGCTAGAGCGTGGTATTACTGAGCCTCTTTGTATCCACAGCTCTGCTCATTTAAGGTTTCCATCTCTGGAGGTCTTGTCCCTGGATGACAATCGTCTGTCAGACCCGAGTGTCTTTGTGAGCCTGTCTCGCCTCTGCAGGTAAGGAAGGACCTGGCAGCAGCTCACCCTGGCTCTGCCAGGACATTCTGGGTGGAAACAGCCCATTGTCCACAGTGCTCACGATAGAGGAGAGGGAGTGGCTGAGCTTTGGGCATGAGACTGCAGGGCTGGAGTGCAGAGCTTTGTGTTCCTGCTCTTCCTTACTTCCATGGGAACGTGGAACTGGGAATCTTGGTAGGACAACAGCTCATCAGAGCCCTGGGTGATTTACAGAACTGCCAGGGGGTCTCCTTGTCCATTCAATTCTCAACAAGAGGTGAATTTAGTACTAGGTGACTCAGCACTGGGGAGGTTGCACCTCAAATTCTGGGGTCAGTTTTGGGCCCCTCCCTCCCAGAAAGACCTTGAGAGGCTGGAGCATGGACAGAGAAGGGCAGTGAAGCTGCTGGGGAACGGTCTAGAGTCCAAGTGTGGTGAGGAGCAGCTGAGGGAGCTGGGGGTGCTGAGCCTGGAGCTGTGGAGGCTCAGGGGAGACCTTCTGGCTCTCCACAGCTCCCTGACAGGAGGCTGGAGCCAGGGGAGGATCGGGGCTCTGCCCCCAAGGGACAGGACAAGAGGAAAAGGCCTCAAGTTGCCCCAGGGAAGGTTGAGCTTGGCCCTGAGGAACAATTTGTTCCCCTTGAGGGCTGTCCAGTTGTGTCCCAGGCTGCCCAGGGCAGTGGTGGAGTCCCCATCCCTGGAGGTGTTTCCAAGCCGTGGAGCTGTGGTGCTGAGGGACACGCATCAGTGGGGACCTGGCAGTGCTGGGGGAACATTTGGACTCAGAAATCTAAAGGTGTCTTCCGACCCAAAGGATTCTGTGGTTCTGTGTCTCTTGGGTCAGTGTTGGGCATGGATGTCATGGGCAACGCTGGGCTGGGCTGAGGCCTGAGCCCGTGGTCAGGATTTGGAGAGGAGGAGGAACAGGGTGGTGGGGTGTGTGTGTCTCCGATGGCTCCACCCTGCTGCTGGGACCCCCGGCGAGGAGACGGGTGTGGGTCAGCTCCCTGCTCTGCGGAGCCCGGCGGGCGGGTGGCCGAGCAGCCACTGGGGATCTTCTCCTGAATTTCCCCTTCCCGTAGGCTGAGGGAGCTGGATCTGGACAGGAACGGGATTTCAGCTGTCCCCACCCTGCACCAAGCAGAGGACAGCTTCGGGGTGGAGTGGTGCAAGCCCCCGAGCAGGCTCTGGCAGCAGCCCGGGCCACCGCTGCGGGAGGACACGGAGGCACCAGTGGAGCTGGAAGCGGCGAGGGGACAGCTTGGGGATGGGGTGCTGCAGGACCACATGGATCCGCAGAGGATGGGTGAGCAGCTCCTACTTCTCTCCTGTTTTGGGTGGGGGGTGGACCCCATGGTGCCAAGGGGAGGCTCTGCTGGAGGTGTGCTGGTGAGCGAAGCAGCCTGACAAAATTCCAGCGGGGAGGGAAGGATGCATGGAACCATTTTAGACATCTCAGCTAAACCTGGACAGTCCCTCTGTGTTCTGGGAGCTTACTGGGCATGAGTCACCCCAGAGCAGACATCTCCCATGGTTCAGGCAGCAGGGTCCCTTTCTCTCTCCCAGACCTCTCTTATGGGGGAGAGCTGAGAGCCCTGGGGCTGTTGAACCTGGTCAAGAGAAGACTCAATCTTCTCAGATTGATGAAGCCTCTTATGATTGATGAGGATGAGGCCTCTTGTCAGTGGTGCCCAGCAACAAGACAAGGGGCAACGGGCACCAACTGGAACCCAGGAGGTTCCACCTGAGCAGGAGGAGAAACTTCTTTGGTGTGAGGGTGGCTGAGCCTGGAGCAGGCTGCCCAGAGAGGTTGTGGAGTCTCCTGCTCTGGAGAGATTCCAAACCCACCTGGCTGTGACCCTGGGCACCCTGCTGTGGGTGACCTGCTGGAGCAGGGGGGCTGGAGGAGATGATCTCCAGAGGTCCCTTCCACCCCCACCATGCTGGGATTCTGTTACTTCTCCAGGGTAGCTTGCTCAGCTTGCTCCAGAGGAGACATTTCATGCTGATTAGAAGGAAAAGTGGCAAAAATGGGGAAAAAAAAAAAAGAGAGTTAGGAAGTGGATTATTGTGGATCCTTGGCAGGCAGAGGGCAGGGAGGTTGTGTGAGTAGGTAGCCCCCCCACAGGTCTCATTCCTGGGGTCTGTCAGCTCTCTCCTCCAGATGTCCTTATGGAAGTGTGATGCACACAACATCACCAGGGGCTGGATCTGGAGCCTGCCTGGAGCCTTCCGTGTGGATCGGAGTGTGGTGGAGGCTGCTGGTGGGGCTCCTCCAAGCATTTCTCCTGCTCCCTGGCTCTCTGCAGCAGCCCCTGGTGTTGGGTGTTTGTGAAACAGGCAGTGGGGTGGTGCTTGCCTGGCAATAGCAGCATGGTGTGGGCATGGCCTCATGCTCACGGTGAGACTCCAACCCAAAATCCCCCCACGGGGAGCTCCTGGTTGCCCTGGGGCCAGTAGCAGGGGTTCTGCTGTGTCTGAGAGACGTGGACCTTACCTGGAGCAATGGGGCTCAGCCCCCTCACCTTGGGCACGTATTGCCATGGAGCCACATCCTGCCCGATGCTGATCCTGTCACTCCAGGGTAATTCCAGCCTTGCCGTGGCTGGTGCTGGCCTGGTGCTCAGCTTTGTGTAGAAACTCTCCCTTTGCTTGTGTTTTATTGCAGGGGACATTTCTGCCTCTCAGAAGCACCCAGCACTGGTAAGAACCGTTGGCTGACCTGTGATTTGGGGTGTGAGCTTCAGAACCTCCCTTCCCAAGCCTCTCAGCTGAGGTTCACTCAGCAGGGCTCCCACCGTAAAGGTCAAAGTACACCCAGAGGTCAAAGCAAGGTGCCATGAGACAACCTCTGAAGTGGCTATGAGCCAAAAGGTCTTCAAATTAGAGCTGTTATTTGGCTCAGGAGGGTGATACCCTGCCACGGAATGGGTCTCCTGACACCAGGCCTCTGGAGCAGTGTCTCTGTTCACCACCTTCCTCCTCTCTTCAAGTTTGTTCCCAGGGAGGGAGAAGCACCTGCCTCCAGGGCTCCACCAGCTCTCTCCGTGCCTAAGGATGCTCCTGCTCCCTTTCCTGAACTGAAACGTCTCAGCCTGGCCTTCAACAAGGTGATTTGGGTCTTGTGGCTCCAGATAAGTGTAAAGATTCATCTGCTTGAGCCTGGCCTTGGTTCCCTGGAAGACACCCTTGGCCTTTAGCAGCCACTGCAGCAGGGCACAGCTCTCCTCATCTCCTGTGTCCATCCGCCAGCCCGTGAGGATGTGTCAGACATCCAGGGTCTCTTGGAGGGGACAGGACACCTACTGGGCAGCTGATGTGCACACAGCTTGTCTACACCTCTTGAAATTCAGGGATTTCATCAGAGAACATATGAAGCACTGTCCTCCCCCTGGCCTGATCTTCTGCTGGAGCTGCCTGGAGGGTGGTGACGTCTCGTTGAGGACTTTGCTGTTGTAGGGCCGGGTTATACCTGTCACAGAATCACAGAACTGTAGAATCATAGAATTATAGACTGGTTTGAGTGGGAAGGGACCTTTCAATGTCATCTCGTCCAACCCTCCTGCAGGGAGCAGGGACACCCCCAGGTAGAGCAGGTTGCTCAGAGCCCCATCAAGCCTGACCTGGAGTGTCTCCAGGGGTGTGGCCTCCACCACCTCTCTGGGTAGCTTGGGCCAGGGGCTGACCACCCTCAGAGTCCAGAACTTC